GGAGTTTATAAAGACAGAGGTCATAGATGTGAGTCAATTATGTTGAAATGATCTTCAAAAAATGAATAGGTGAGAAAGAGGGATGTACTGGGAGAAGGGAAAGGTAGAATGGGGAAACTTTTCTCACATAAAATAGATATACAAGGAAGAGCTTTTAATGGAGGAGAAAATTGGTGGGGAAGGGGGTAGACAATGCTTGAACATTATTCTCATCTGAATTGGTTCACAAAGAGAAGAATATATATATATATATATATACACACACACACTCAGTTTTATACAGAAATATAACTTACCCAATACGGAAACAGGAGGAGAAAGGAATAAAAAAAAAAAGGGAGGGCAGATTAAGGGAAGCAGTGGTTAGAAGCAAAATAGACTTTTGAGGAAAGGATAAAAAGAGAGAGAAAAAAACAGAAGAAAATGTGGGAAATACAGTTAGTAATCATAACTATGAATGTTAGTGGGATGACCTCACCCATAAAATGGAAGCAGATAGCAGAATGCATTAGAAACCAGAATCCAACAACATGTTGTTTACAAGAGATACACTTGAAACAGAAAGACACACATAGAGTTAAAATAAAGGGCTGGAGCATAATCTTAAATGCTTCAGCTAAACTAAAAAAAGGCAGGGGTAGCAATCACAATCTCAGATAAAGCAAAAGCAAAAATAGACCTAATTAAAAGGGATAATCAGGGAAACTACATTAGTCTAAAAGATACCATAGACAAAGAAGCAATATCAAAAAATTTTACAGCAAGTTTCTCTGAGAAATACCTCATTTCTCAAATGTATACTGAGTATAGAACTGAGTCACCAACCCCTGATTAATAAATGGTCAAAAGGTATAAACATGCAGTTTTCAGAAGAAGACATCAAAGCTATTTATATTCATATGAAAAATGTTATAATTATTGATTAGAGAAAGGCAAATTAAAACAACTTTGAAGTACTAACTCACACCTATCAAAAATGACAAATTCTACTAAAAACACTAGAGAGCATAGGAATAAATGGAGTCGTCCTTAAAATGATAGGTAGCATCTATCTAAAACCATCAGCAAGCATTATATGTAATGGGGATAAACTAGAAGCATTTCCAATAAGATCAGGGGTGAAACAAGGATGTCCATCATCAGCACTGTTATTCAAATATTGTACTAGAAATGTTAGCTTTAGCAATAAGAGAAGAAAAAGAAATTGAAGGAATTAGAATAGGTGAAGAAGAAACAAAGCGATCACTCTTTGCAGATGATATGATGGTATACTTAGAGAATCTTAGAGTATCAAGTAAAAAGTTACTTGAAATAATAAACAAATATAGCAAAGTTGCAGGATATAAAATAAACCCACATAAATCATCGGCATTTCTATATATCACTAATGAAGCCCAACAGCAGGAGATAGAAAGAGAAATTCCATTTAAAGTTACTGTAGACATTATAAAATATTTGGGAGTCTACCTGCCAAAACAAACCCAGGAACTATATGAACACAATTGCAAAACACTTTTCACACAAATAAAGTCAGATCTAAATAAGGAAAAATATCAGTTGCTCATGGGTACTCCAAGCTAATATAATAAAATGACAATTCTACCTAAGTTAATTTACTTATTCAGTGTCATACCAATCAAATTACCAAAAAAAAATATTTTCTAGAGCTAAAAAAATAATAACAAAATTCATCTGGAAGAACAAAAGGTCCAGAATATCAAGGGAATTAATGAAAAGAAATGCAAGGGAAGGTGGCTTAGCTGTACCAGATCTTAAATTGTATTATAAAGCAGCAATCATCAAAACTACTTTGTATTGGCTAAAAAATAGAGTGGTAGACCAGTGAAATAGGTTAGGTATGCAAGACATGATAGTCAATGACTATAGTAATCTGCTGTTTGATAAATCCAAAGACTCCAGCCTCTGGGATAAGAATTTACTATTTAACAAAAACTACTGGGAAAACTGGAAAACAGTATGGCAGATACTAGGCACAGAACAACATCTTACACTGTATACCAAGATTAAAGTCAAAATGGGTACATGATTTAAAGCAAGGAATAGTTTGACTGTTAGATCTATGGAGAAGAAGGGAAGAATTTGTGACCAAATAAGAGAGCAGGTCTGTATTCCAAATAGGCCAAAGAAAAAGAAAATTGGCCTCCATACACAAAAATATTTATAGCAGTTCTTTTTGTGGTGGCAAAAAATTGGAAATCAAGGGGATATTCATCAATTAGAGAATGGCTGAAGTTTTTGTGGCATATGATGGAGTACTATTGTGTTATGGGAAATGAAAAGGTGGGTAGTTTCAGAAAAACATGGCCAGACCTATATGAACTGATGGAAAGTGAAGTGAGAACTGGGAGATCATTGTGCACAGTAACAGCAATGTCGCAATGATGATCAACTGCGAAATACTTCGCTGATCTGATCAGTACAATGATCCAAGACAATTCCAAAAGGATTCATGATGAAAAATTGCTATCCACTTTCAGAGAAAGAACTGATGAGTTCTGAGTGTAAATTGAAGCATAATTTTCTCACTTTTTATTTTTCTTGCTTTTTTGTAAATATCACTAATTTGGAAATGTTTTTCATAATATCACATGTATAATTGATATATTACTTGCCTTCTCAATGGGTAGAGGAGGGGATAGGGAGAATTTGGAACTCAAAATTTAAAAAGAAAAGAAAGTTAAAAACAAACAATAAATTAAAATTTATTTTTAAAAAATTATTTACCAGACTGTGATCCTAATATAATTGCATCAAATAATTTCTGATGGGTAAAAAAGCAAAACAAAACACTGTCAATCCTCTTCTTCTTGATACTTTCTTCTCTCTAGGTTTTTGTTACTGTTCTCTCCTGATTCTTTTCCTACCTGTCTAAAGCTCCTTCTCACTCTCTTTTGTTGGATCTTCATTTAGTTTATGTCCAATAACCCTAAGTGTTTTTTTCTAAGGCTCTCTCTCCAAGCCTTCTTCCTTCCTCTTTCTCTACACTATTTCTCTTGGCTCTGCCATGGATTCAATTATCATCTCTATGCGGATGGTTCTCAGATCTATCTATCTAATCCTAATCTCTCACCTGAATTCTGGTCTCACATCTCCAACTGCCTCTTGGACATTTCAAACTGCATATCCCATATCTTAAACTCAACATGCCCAAAACTTAATTCACTATCTTTCCTATTCTCCCTTCTTCCCAACTTTCCTAATATTGTCAAGGGCACAACCAACCCCTTAATTATTTAGACTTACAACCTAGGTGTCATCCTCAACTCAACTTTCAATTACCCCACATATCCAAACTGTTGCCAAGATCCATCTATTCTGCCTTTGTAACATCCCTGATATATTGTCTCCTTTATTCCTTTGATACTGCTGCTGCCCTGATACAAACTCTATTGGTCTCCCTGACTCATCTTTCCCCACTCTATCCTACCATCTACCCAGATAACAAAGTAATATCCGTAAAGAGTAGTCCTAGCCATGTCACCCCCTTCCCCTACTCAATAACACTAGCAGCTTTCTATTATCTCCAATATCAAATATAAATTTCTCTATTTGGCTTTCAAAACCCTTCATTACCTGGCCTCTTCTTGCCTTTCCAGTCTTCTTATATTTTACTCCCTCCAAGATTCAGTGATACTGGCTTTTCTTGATGCTCCTTACACACAACACTCCATCTCCTGACTCTGTGTCTTTTCATAATGCCTATCCCCAGGCCTGAAAAGTTCTCCCTCTTCATCTCTGCCTCCTGACTCCCCTGAATTCTTTCAAGATTCAGCTCAAATCCTGCCTTCTGCAGGATGCTTTTCCTGGTCCTCACCCAGTCCCAATACTACAGCCTTCCCTCTGAGATTACCTCCAACTTAATATATATACACATATACACATATATCCATATGTATATGTTGGTGTATATGCATATGTATGTGTACATATATGTGTATATATTATAGGTACATAGTAGTTTACATGTTGTCTCCCCATTAAAATATGAGCTCCCTGAGAAGAAGGACCATTTTTGCCTTTCTTTGTATCTCCAGGACTTAGCACAATGCCTGGCACATAGTAGATATTCCATAAATGCTTGTTTACTTGTTAACTGGACTTGAGTATTTACTACTTGTGAAAGGCTGCAGCCCTGGACAAGTAATTTAACCTTTCTGCACCTGTTTCTTCATTTGTAGGCACTGGACTAGATAACAATAAAGATAGAGCTAGCATTTATATGGTACCTACTACTACTAAGAATCCCTTCCTAAATCACTTGCATAACTCAATGAACTTTGAGCTAAGCTGTGGAGGGTTATCTAAGATGGACAGATAACAGTAGAGAGTTCTGACAAAAGGTGACCCACTAGAGAAAGAAATGGCAAACCACTCCAGTATCTTTACCAAGAAAATCCCATGAACAGATCAGCTTGGACAGATTCCAGGAGATAGTGGAAGACAAAAGGGCCTAGTGTGCTATGGTCCATAGAGTGACAAAAAGCTGGACACAACTGAATGACTGAACAATAACAACCATTACTAAGAATAAAAGCTAACATTTATTTAGCACTATGTGCCAGGCACTGTGCTAAAGCACTTTATAATTTGTATCTCTTTTGGTCCTCACAACAACCCTGGGAGGTGGGTGCTCGTTATTACCACCATTTTACTGAAACTGGGGCAGATAGAGGTTAAGTGACTTGCCCAGGGTCACACAGCTAGTAAGTTTGAATAAGGTCAGATTTTAACTCCAGTCTTCCTGACTCCAGGTATAGATGATCTTTAAGATTCCTTCTAGTTTTAAATTCTATGAACTCTCTCTCTTCTGTATATGGCACCCTCCCTGTGGTCTACTCAAGGCATAATTTGGCAGTTTTTCAATACAAGACCAGCCTAACTTGACAAAGGCTTAAGGAAGAAGAAACAGGGTAGATCTTTCTGTTAACCTCAGATAAATTAAGTGCAAAGGCTTCTTGTTTGTTTTTTTGTTTTTGCAGATCCTGTGGAAATTGGCAGGCCTGGGAATTAACTTCAGTTAACTGGACTAGTTAAACCCCACTGAAATCCTCTTCTGATGCCTCACAGGAAATTAGCCAGGATTCTTTAAGGAAGAAGAGCAGGTGGGTGGCACAGTGGATAGAGTGCTAGACCTGGAAACAGGACAAACTGAGTTCAAATTTTACCTCAGATATTTACTAGCTGTGGGACCCTGGGCAAGTCACTTAACCTCTATCTGCCTCAGTTTCCTCCTCTGCAAAATGAAGATAATAATAGCACCCACCTCCTAAGTTGCTACAAGAATGAGATAATATTTGTAAAGCACTTTACAAACCTTAAAGCACCATATAAATACAAGCTTTATTTTATTATTGTTATTTTTTTTATTGTTATTGAAAGCTCTGATTGGTAAAGCCATACCAACTCTTAAAGGTCATCTCTCCCAAATTATGGAAGTTATTATATTATTATATTACATTATATGGTTATTATCTTATATCAAGGGAGGGAATACCTAAAATAGCAACAAGTTAAAAGTCAACAAGATTCCTTCATCATATCTACTAGTCACTCAGTATGATCAGAACCATCAGGTACTCTGGCCCTCATCCAAGTCCCATTAAGTGCTACTGCTGCTGCCACCACTGCCGCCACCACTACCACCACCACTACCACTCCACACAAAGCATTTTTTCCCTATATAGGCCAGAGAAAAACAAAGAACTCCACACTCAAGGCAAAAAGTATTCAGTCACAACAGGGAGGGCTATCACAGTTAATCTCATAGACATGACATTTTATAACTGCAAGCGCAATGGATTCAGGAGACCCAGGTTTTAATCTGTGCTCTGCCACTAATTTACCTGTGTGACCATAATCCTTCTCAATAAAGTGAATGAAGGAGGTGATTTGATTATCTTTAAGGTTTCCTTGCAGTCCATGACTTTCATTTCTTCTTTAATCTCAATCTTGAGGAATCAGGAGCTTCCTGAAAGGCTTCTATTTGTAACTATTTGATATATCAAACACTTATTATTAAGCACCTACCATTTATTAAACCAACTCCAACAAGGTTTTTTGTTTTTGGTTTGTTTTTTTTTTACCAGATAACCATATTCCATTTTCCTAGAAAGATGTGTTTACTTATTCAGAGATTTTCTGAAGTTGCCTAGCAATAATGGCATTAGGAGCCAGAATATTTCTCCAAGGTTCCTAAAAACCCATAAGATGCAATCTCTGGGCCACCTGGGCTGCCCCTCAGGTTCTCATGTACTTTTAAATCAATCCTTTCAGTAAAAAGAGAATTGGGACAGAAAATGCTTATGGCCCAAAAAGAGCTGAGATAACCTTGCTTATCAAAATGTACAATCCAGCCAATAATTCTGAGTTAGGCTCCCAGGAGATAACAAAGAAACTCTCCCTCCCCTCAGGAAGCTCATCTTATCTCTAAGATTCCCTAGAAGCAATCTAGAATGCCTGAGCTCCTCAAGCTCCTGTGATTACTATGATCCAACTGATGCTCACCCACGGAGATCTGAGTGATAAAAGGATCAGAGAGTATTCAAGAATAAGTTATTTGCCGTATCTCTGCATTGGCACACTAGAGCCATTTAAACATACACCATCTAGGGATTATGTGTTTTGCATTATCTAGGGCCCCTTCTTTCACCTTGAATAGGCACAAATCACAGAATATGATAGCTAGAAAGGATTGTACAGTTCATCTAGTTCAACCCCCTTATTTTATAGGAGAAGAACTCAGAAAGGTGAATTCTGCCATTGGCAGGGCTGAGAATCAAACCCAGGTATTCTAGTTTCCTGATTCAGAGCCAAAAGCTAGTGACTGTATTTACCTCCAGTAACAGTGACAGGCAAATAACTCTGCTTAGCTCAGCAAACTCCACTGTGTCCTGAGTTTTCTCAGCATTTATGCAGGAAAAGGGAGGCTTCCCCTGGGACTGGTCTTTGTGGGTAGGGAGGTGGCCTGGTTTTTTAGGGCTGTGACAGCAAAAAGGGTAAGCCTGGGAGAGGTCTTAGCAAGCGCGGAAAGGCTTTGGGTGTGGGCTGGGCAATGTTCCGTGTGTCTGTCATCCAAAACCCAGCCCAACCCAGCTTCATAAACACAAAGCAAAATGTTCTTCACCAGGTGAAAAAGTCTTTTTGGCCAGACCAACTTAGGAAGACCATCTACTAAGATGAGGAGGACCCATTGGAGGGGAAGACCCACCACATCAAAGAAATCAAGGATCAGGGACAGCTAGGTGGCGCAGTGGATAGAGTACCAGCCCTGAAGTCAAGAGGACCTGAGTTGAAATATGGCCTCAGACCAAACACTTGACACTTACTAGCTGTGTGACCCTGGGCAAGTCACTTAACCCCAATTGCCTAAAGAAAAAAAAAAAGAAATCATGGATCTCTTTAAATATCAAAGTTACCTAGGTGTGTAGCTACAGTGGCTTGCCTACCTTGCCTGCTGGATGAACTGTGTGGCTTTCTCTGCAAACTTTTCTGTAAGACTTGTGAGGTTCACTGGCTGCTCCACAATGATGAAGTTCTCATACAGAGGAAGGCCCACATCAGAGTAACAGTTTTTCCCAGGGATGCTGTATAGAAACCACAGACACTTTACTCACTGTAATAAGCAAAGTAATTCTGTAGCCTGGTGGGGAGGAAGCATTTTTTCATCTAGCCATGTAAATAAGCACAAGATATTTACCAGTCATGCCTAAAATGTCTAACAGCTTCCCATTTCCTACTCCCCTGGGAAAATACATTTGCTCATCCTGAGCAAGTGGATATATTTTCCAAGCTGTTCAGATAAATGCTTGAAACACTCATAACTCTTTTCTTCACTCATTTGCTATTGTTGGCCTTGTTTTTAAGAATGAATAATCACAGAATCATAGGATGTCAGAGCTGGCAGGGATCTTGGGGACTGTCTGGTCCTGCTTCATTTTACATGGGAATAAACTGAGTTCTAGAAAGAGGAATGGTCCCACAGTGAGAAAGGAAGAAAGGAAACAGCATTTATTAAGTGTCTATCTGCTTTACAATGATTACCTAATTTGATCCTGACAATCCTATTATTGTTATCATCCCCATATTATAGTTGAGAAAACTGAGGCAGTCACAAGTTAAGTGACTCTACATCGTCACACAGTAAATATCTGAGGGTAGATTTGGACTCAGGTCTTCTGACTTGAAGACCTGTGCTCTATTTACTATATCAGGGGTAGGGAACCTGCAGATTGGGATCCTTCTGTCATTTAGATTATATTTCTTTACTGCTCTCAGATTAATAGACCATTTTCTTGGCAATAATCCTGTGCGTTAGGTGTGCACACACACACACACATATCCTAGCACTGAATTTTGTAACTGAATCTTTCTTTATGAAGGGGACTAAAAGGTCAGCTAGAGTAACCACCATGGAAAAACAGAGAAAATGATGTATGGACTGAATGGATTCCAAACATTCATATTTATAACTTCATTGAGATTCTCTCCCTTCTAGGAACCTCTGTGTAAGGCCTCAGTCAACAGCTTTTTCTGTTTGGCTTCATTATTTGCTGAAGGGAGATTAATGGTCATATCATGTTTGTCTGATGGCTTGGTGTTTATATCAGGTGATGCACATCGGAGCTTGAAAGTTCCTTAGGGCCATTTACAAGGAAAAGTGCATCATTTACTGAGCCCACTTTTAGGTCCTAGACTCTGTGCTAGATGCTGGACGTAGGCAAAATGAAAAAATAGTCCTTGTTTTCAAGGAGCTCATATTCTACTGGGGGGTAGGAGTGGGAAACAACATGTACATAGAAAAATCAGCACCAAATATAGAAAAAGCAAATACAACACATTGGAGGTAGGGGAGTATGGGTGGGCTCAGGAAAGGAACTAAGGATTTACTGAGCCATGGGGACAAGCCTACACAAATACATAAAAGTGAAAAATACAGGAAATGGCAAATAGGTCATCTTAACTAGATCACTGCAGTGACTCAATTTCCCCAACCTGCCTGACCTCTAAAAATTAGGTGGTGGACCAGATAGATTCCTAAGGTTTCTTCTAACCCTGACATCCTATGATTCTAACCAGGTGATCAAACATACACACGTAATTTTCCAAGTAAAGAAATGTGCCTGTGAAAAGGGAATATTATCACTTTATTTATTCTTTTTCACTTAGTATAGAGGCTGCATTTATTTAAGGCATGTCCTGTCTGAATACAGATATCCCCCCACCCCCTCTTACCCCCCCCATCCCCCACCCTGGGTCAAATAGAAGCTCCTAGGAAGGAAAATCTATTTTTTTTCTGCTTTTGTCTTTGTAGGCCCAGTGTCTAGCCCACTAGCACAGTGTCTGGTACATAAAGATGAGCCCAGTAATTGCTAGTTAAATTAAATTGAGTGAAGCACCTTGTGGTTCAAGAAGGTTTCTGCCTACACCATTATTGTCTGCCTTATCCATTAAGCAGTAAGACAGTAAGTACAACTTCTGCTTAATTCAGTTTCTATGGACCCATATGTAGACAAGTACCAAACAGTTGCTTTGGATATTACCTTTGTGATCCAGCCGATGAAGGTGGGCAGGCCGGGCAGGGTGGGTGATTGTAGCCAGGGGTGTCGCTACAGCCCATGTCATGGCTATAAGGAATTCCAAAGTAGTAACTGAAGCCTGCGGTCAAAGCAATGAGGTCAGCCTCCCGAATCACAGCAGTGTTGTCCTAGCAGCAGCTTTCTCCCACCACCTTCTGATTTTTAATTCCCAATAATTTAATAGCACAAGGTATGCAATTTAAAAAGGATTTGATTAACATCCCTTTCCTTGTATTCAAAGAAAATTGCTGCTCGCTTCTAGCCGTAAACCTCAATCTGCAAACTTGGAAACAGCATTCTGCAAGCAAGGGATTAACCCACATGTGGAAGAACTGATGAGAAAGAATTTATGGAGTGCTTGGGCTCCTGGTTCAATCAGATATTAATATCAAGTTATAACTTTATTTAGTTACAAAGTAAAATCAAATGATATTCAAATATACTCCTCCACATCTTTTCTCTCCCGCACAAGCATTTATCTTGAGGCTATATCTACACACATGAAAAAAGTAACATAAGGTGGAAAGAGTATTGGAATTGGAATCAAAGCATCTAAATTCAAATTCGATATCTGTTTGGGCAAAGCACTTAATGAACCTCACTGGTCCTCCTACCCTCATTTGTAAAATGAAAGGTTTGGTCAAGATGACCTCTAAGGTCATTTAAATCTTGCTCTAAATCTATGATGCCATGATCTTTCAAAGCTAGTATACCTAGAAGACTTACATAATGCAAACATAATTTCCCAGTTCTCCTCTTGGTTTTGCTTTTGTATATGGCCAGAGCTTAAATATACACAATAATAATAACTCACACTTTTGTAAACTTTAGGGTTTTAATGTTTTACACACATCATTGCATTTGAACTTATAACAACCTTGTGAAGTAGGTGCTACTTCCTATTTTATTAGGAATAATTTGAATAATAATGATTCCCATTTTACAGATGAGTAAGGTGAAGCTCAGAAAGATTAAGTGACTGATCAGGGTCAAATAGCTAGTAAATGTATGAGGCTTCCAGACTCCAAGTCCAGTCCCCTATCTGATATACCAAGAGAGATATTGTTTAAAAGCTGGAGGGTCCTTATAAGTCTAGTTTCAAAAAGCATTTCTCGTCACAAAGTCCGCAGAGAGCTTGATAGAGGACTTCCTTACTAGTTTGCTGCTGCAGAACTGGATATCCCATAGTTCAGATCATATCCTCAAAATTTAAGTATGCTCAGTAAATATTGGCTGTCCGGTTAGCTTGATGAATACGTCACCCAACACCAGCTTATGACGGGGTTCCACTTTACTGACTAACTCACAATCTAGTGATCTTCCCACTCTACCACTCAGTTTCTCTCCCTAGAGCTAGGGCGGAAAAGAAACCCAGCTGTTTCTGAATAGGGCTAGCCGGAGGCAATTATGTTAATTCAAGATGGAAAGTATTTTAGCATTTTCCCATTATCACTGTTCAGTGCCCTACCCTTCCATACCCTCTTATTCTTACCCTTTACCTCTTTTACTGAGAAGACTGAAGCCATGTGGTATGAATTCAATTCATCTAACATTCATTTAGCACCTATGCTGTTCCAGGTGTTGTGTGTGTGTGTGTGTGTGTATATATATATATATCTATATATATAGATATATATATAGATATATATATATCTATATATATATAAAAGATAAAACAGAACAGTCCCTCCCCTCAAGGAGCTTATATTCTACTGAGCATAAAAAGCATGTACACATATAAGCACCCTCTCTGAGCCCATTCTCCCAACACTGCACTTGAATTGAAAACTGGGATCCCCAGAGGGTCACTTGGCTACTGCTCTGCCTCAGGGTTTTGTCAAGTAATCTTAAGGGACTGAATTTCCATTAATGTTGCTCATGAGCCCCTACTTGTATGCTTCCCAATGAGTCAGCCAGACTTAAACTAGCTTTATAAAAAAGTATGTACTGAGATAGCATAATAAGAAGAGTTACTATAAAAAGTTACCCGTCTCCTGTTCCCAGCTCCCACCAGAAGCCTGAGCCGTTCTCTCCTGCAAGTACACACAGCTCCCTGAGAAGGGTGGGTACAAACTTAGAAGACAAAGCTAGGGAGGCCCATGTGTAGAGAACACATGTGGCAAAGGGTTAACTCACAATTCCTGGTTACTAGAAGTCTTTTTCTTGTTTCTCAGTGTTCTCATGAACCCCAGAGGTTATTGAAAGGGTGCAGAGGTTCCTTATGGAACCCCTCTTTCATTTATGACTAGAATTGGACATGCTCTGCGATGGAGTCTGCTGAGCTCCAAGGGCTGGTGCTTTTGTAGAGGTCCTTAGTCAGCACTTCTTCTTGCTAGGCGAGGTCATGCTCCCTGAAGCTGCTTCTTCCCTCAGATGGCTATCTTTCTGCATCTGTTTGTACACATTTGTCCTTGGTGTGTCTTCCTTCCCTGTTCCTTGTGTCTCTCTCTGTTGTTGGCTGAGTACATTGCCTCTTACTACTCATCCAGGCCCTGATAACATGGTTAATGTAGTGAAGGAGAGAGAGAGACAGAGAGAGAGAGAGAGAGAGAGAGAGAGAGAGAGAGAGAGAGAGAGAGAGAGAGAGAGAGAGAGACAGAGAGACAGAGAGACAGAGAGACAGAGAGAGAGACAGAGAGAGAGACAGAGAGAGAGAGAGACAGAGAGAGAGAGAGAGAGACAGACAGACAGACAGACAGACAGACAGAGACAGAGAGACTGAGAGACAGAGAGAGAGACAGACAGACAGACAGAGAGACAAAGAGAGAGAGACAGACAGACAGAGACAGAGGGAGAGAGAGAAGGAGAGAGAGAAAGAGAGAAATTCTCTTCTCTCTTCCTCCTAATTGTCTTGGCTCTAATGCTATGATTCACTAACTGACTGACTGACCTGAAACAGGCTTACTGCTTTTATACATAGCCTAAGAGGTATGACGACCAATAACAAGATGTTTTCTTTATGAAAAAAAATAGAGGCAGCTAGGTGGTGCAGTGCAGGGCCTGTGTTCAAATCTAACCTCAGTCACTTACTAATTATGGGACCTGGGTTAAGTCACTTAACGTCTTTCTGCTTCAGTCGCTTCACTGTAAAATCAGGTGAATGATATAATAGCATCTACTTCACAGGGCTGTGATAATCAAACCATATTATTTGAAAAGAATTTTATATCATCTGGCACATAGCAGGCACTTCATAAATGCTGGTTACCTTCTTCCCTTATGGTATTCTCTACCTTCCATGCAAAAAGTCCTATGGCCCAACGTCCTATGGTCCTTTCTAATTGGTTAAGGGCTTGTGCACACACTGTGATAAGGATATAGGAAAAGTCTTTAATACTTAATATGTTTTGTCAGTTGATCAGTTAATTTAGTTAAACATCAACACATATAAATACAATGTAATTTTGGGAGCACTGATAATTAGAGGGATCAGGAAAGGCATTGCACAGAAAATAGGGCTTGAGCTCAACTCTTTTTTTTTTTATAGGCAATTGGGGTTAAATGACTTGCCCAGGGTCACACAGCTAGTAAGTGTCAAGTGTTTGGTCTGAGGCCAGATTTGAACTCAGGTCCTCCTGACTTCAGGGCTGGTGCTCTATCCACTGCACCACCCAGCTGTTCCTTGAGCTCAACTCTTAAGAGACCTAAGGATTCTACCGAGCAGAGGAAGAAGGGAGAACATTCCATCCATGGAAACAAAGGTAGCAGATGGAATGTTAAGAACTTTCTCAACTTTCCTCCTATCCTCATCTAAATTACTAAATATCCTCACTTTTCATTCCCTCCACTTTTAGAGGGAAAGCTACTCCTCCTCCACACCCAAGCTAGCTCCTTCACCTATGTCCTCAGTGAAGCTCAGAATTGGAAGAGACAACAGGAGTCATCTCATCCAACTCATACCCAAAACAGGAATCTATTTTATAAAATTATAAGACTACAAGTGGTAATCTAGCCTCCTCTTGAAGACTTTCAGTTATATGGAACTCAATACTTTTTATCCTATCCCCTCCTACTTCCTATGTGAACCTCATCAAACATTCCTTCTCCTGAATTTTCTTTCAAAAGGCCAGGCCTTTTCAGAAAGGCACACCCTTACTCAGAAACAACTAGTTTTCCTTTTCCCCTAGCTCTAGGGATAGGGAGTGATGCAGTGGGAAGATCACTAGACTGTGAACTGTTCAATAAGACAGAACTCTGTTAAAAACCGGTGTTGGGTGACATGTTCATCAAGCTAAGCTCATCATGTTACAATCAATGTATCCTGAGTGTACTTATGTTTTGAGGATGTGATCTGGATCCTTTAGGATATTCAAATTCTGTAACAACAAACCATGTTATAACAGGGGAGTACTCTATCAAGCTCTCTGAGGTTTTCTGTGATTAGAAATACTTTTTGAGGCCAGGATTATAAAGACACTCCAGCTTTTAAATATTATTTCTTGTGGTATATTGGATAGAGGACTGGACTTGGAATCAAGAAGAAATGTCACTTCACTCTTTCCCTTATATAAATATACTCTTGTCTATCCTTTGGTTCCACTCCCCTTGAGAATGACCATCTTATCTCTCTATCCCCTCGCCCCTTCACTGCCAAATTTCTCAGAAGCAGTCTACCCTCATTGCTTCATTATTCATTTACTCCTCAACTTTTCAGTCTGATTTCAATCTCCACCACTTCTTTGTAACAGCTCTCTCTAAGAACATTAATAATCTTATCACTAAATCAAACGATCTTTTTCCATCTTTAGCTTTCTTACTTTCTTTATAACATTTGACACTGCTGACCACACCTTCTATCTCAAAATCAATGACCCCATACCCTTTCTACATTCTTGTCCTACCCTCTCTCATCTCTGTCTCTTTATTCATATGTTCTCCTATGATTGGAACATCTCCATCTCCAACTGTTGAAGACCCTTGACCCTTCAAGGCAGGAGATTTTGGGTTGCCCTTTACAGAATGTCATCAATAAAAGGCAAGTGACCACTAGTTGGGTATGTTGTTGAGGAGATTCTTGAGAATTCAGGTACAAGTTGGACCATTTGGCTTCTGACTTCTAAGACAGCTCTAAGACCCTGTAATTCTCTAATTTTTCTAAGTCAACTTTACCATGTCTTCCATGAAATCCTATCTGTTCCAACCTCACCTAAAAGTGATATCTCCCCCCTCAAATTTCTCATAGCACATTGCTTAAGTCTCTCTTTTGCATTTATCATACTGTATGTCACTTCCTGTCCCACCTTCATTAAATGATTGGCTCCTTGAGAGCAGGGCTGGCATCATATCAATATCTCTATCCCTAAACAGTGACTAACACAGTGCCTTGTATACTGTAGGCACTTAGTAGGTGGTGGCTGACTTTGATTGAATTTATTGGAGCTCTAATGTGAAAAAGGGGGAGAGGAAAGAAGCATACAAGTTTTGGATGTATGAGGGACTTATGGCTATGATTATCATAGAGAATGGTGGGCTCACAGATGCCTAAAACAGTAGTAGATGTTTAATAACTTGGTTAAGACTGCTGTGGTTAAGGCTCCACATCATGGAGAAGACATACATATTATCTCTGACACCTTTAGCCTCCTCTCCATTCCCACCACCACCACCCTATTGCAGGTTCTCCAACCTTATCATCTTGCATGCACATTATACTCTAGTCAAGCTGGTTTATTTGTTTTCTAAACGTGCTATGAGCTTCATCTATACCTTTGAGCACAATGTTCTCTAAACCTAGAATATATCCCTTTTGTTTGTTGAATTCCTACCCATCTTTTAAATATCGCTTCTTCCATGAATATCTCCCTGATGCCCCAGAACTGACCTCCCATGACACTGTCTTGCATTTCTTTAACAAATTTGTCATAGAATATCACATATTATACTTCTCCATATTGTTCCTTTATTAGACTTTAAGTTTCATAAGACCTTCTCTAAATGTTGTATCTACTCTACAACACAGCTCTTCATACAATATTAAAAACAATTAATGAACAGTTTTTGAATGAATGACTGTAAGTCATACTATTGCAACAGCCTCCTAGCAGGTCTTCCTTCATCTACTCTCTCTTCTCCCTAATCCATCTTTCACATTTCTACTAGAGTGAGATAGGAGTCTTTCCTACTCACAGATCTGGTCATGTCATTCCTGTATTAGAGAATATTCATCAGCTCCCTACTGTCTTCTAAATAAACTTATAACATTTGGTGTGGTAGTAGGAATATCTAACAGAGTCTCTCTCTGTACCTCCATACCTGCCATGTGGGATGAGGAAATCGGGAAGGGAACAAGCATTTATTAAGTACCTACTATGTGCCAGGCATAGTGCTAAGTGCTTTACAAATATGTCATTTAATCTTCACAACAACCTTAGGAGGTAGATACTATTACCATCTTTATTTTATAACTGAGGAAACTGAGGCAGGCAGAGGTTAATTGACTTGCCCAGAGTCACATAACTAGTCAGTGTATAAATACAGATTTGAACTCAGGTCTTCCTGATTCTAGGCTCAGTGCTCTATCTACTACATCACCTACCTGGTTAGTTCTTTTCCTTAAAAAGCATTGAAATGGTCCTTGAGACTTAATTGGTTCAGGGCAGCTAGGTGGCACAGTGGAGGGCAGCTAGGTGGTACAGTGGATAGAGTACCAGCCCTGGATTCAGGAGAACCTGAGTTCAAATCTGGCCTCAGACACATAACACTTACAAGCTGTGTGACCCTGGGCAAGTCACTTAACCCCATTGCCTAGCCAAAAAAGAAAAAAGAAAAACTAGAGACTTAATTAGTTCAAGAGACTAAGGCCCATGCCACTGATGCAGCTTCCTGGTTGCCTGATTCCAAAGAAAACCATGAGGAGTTCTGGCTGGTCTCTGAAGCTTCTGAAAAGCAGACCAACACTTCTGACCAGTGACCAGTATTGGTACTAGAAAGCTGTACTCTACTGAATCATGCTGAGTCCTTGATAAATATCCTTTCTCTGCTCTAGCTAAGGAAATGTCCTTTTGTCAGCCTTTACAAGGACTCTGAATATGTTATTTCATTCTAGTCTTGAACTGGAGCGATCAGACTGGCTTGGTCAGCCCTGACATACTACATTTGGCATTTAAGGATCTCTGCAATCTCACAGGATTCAGACGTGGAAGCAGCCCCAGAGCTCAACACTCCAACCCCCTTGCAGATGGTGAAGGAGGGGAGGAGGGGGAAGAATGACCAGCTCAACTAGCAAGGGACAGATCCAAGAGGGTAGGATCATAGATTCAGAGGATTTGAACTCAGATCATTCTGGGTTCTTTCCACTCTAGCATCGCTTCTGTAACTAATTACCCTGCCTCTCCAACCTTCTCATCTTGCAGGCACATTATACTCTAGTCAAGCTGGTTTATTTGTTTTCTAAACGTGCTATGAGCTTCATCTATACCTTTGAGCACAATGTTCTCTAAACCTAGAATATATCCCTTTTGTTTGTTGAATTCCTACCCATCTTTTAAATATCGCTTCTTCCATGAATATCTCCCTGATGCCCCAGAACTGACCTCCCATGACACTGTCTTGCATTTCTTTAACAAATTTGTCATAGAATATCACATATAATACTTCTCTGTATTGTTCCTTTATTAGACTTTAAGTTTCATAGGACCTTCTCTAAATGTTGTATCTACTCTACAACAGAGCTCTTCATACAATATTAAAAACTATTAATGAACAGTTTTTGAATGAATGTCTGTGAGGTAGAAGTATATTGATAGGATGGGTTCAGAGGTAGAAAATACTAAAGTTATAGAACTTTAAAATTCACCTAATCTTTTTCTAGTTTTGTTGAAGAAACTGAGGTTTTCAATCTCAGAGAGCTGGATCCAGTGGATTTCCTGCCTCCCCCAAAAGACTTCATGGGTAGGGAGAATATACCAACAAAACCAGATGGACCAGGTCACATTTGCCACTTGCCTCAGGTTAATGACAGAATCAAAAACCAGAATCCGGATGTCCTAATTCCCATTCCACTGCTGTTTGGACCATACCACAGTAGGTCATAGTAAATGATAGATAACAGGAAATAAAAGATGTCATGGAATCGTCTCCTGAAACATCATGGAGGTGGGGTGGAGAGTGTGGAGAATAAAGGAAGATGAGAAATGAAGGAGTATCCAGCTGAAGACTAAAAAGAGTCCACTAATCTCATTAGAAAGGACATGTACATTGTGTGATCAGCTATGAATAACTTAGGTCTTCTCACCAATACAGTGATCCAAGACAATTCCAAAGGGCTCATGATGAAAAATGTTACACATATCCAGAGAAAGAACTGATGGACTCTGACTACACATCTAAGCATACTATCTTCACTTTATTTTTTTGTGTGGTTTATTTTTTTTTCCTTTTGGTCTGTTTCTTCTTTCCCAATATGACTAATATGGAAATAAGTTTTACATGATCGCACATAAACAACCTATATCAAATTGCTTAGGGAGGGGGGAGGAAGAAAATTTGGAACTCAAAAGTTTTTCAAATGAATGTTAAAATTGCCTTTACATATAATTGGAAAAAAACAAAATACTTTTTTTTTTTTAAAAAAAGGACATGTAGAAAGAGCATTGGATTATAATCGGGAGACTTGGATTCTACTTCTGGCTCTATCATCACCTCTCTGGGCCCTGGTTTCCTCATTTCAATTAAACATTTGTTATTGTAGCATCCCTTCTGGATTACTCCCCCTAACTCATACTTATACTTGCAGGTGGGGTTCATAGGGGGTAGATGCTACCTCAGGTTCTAGAGTTACCCTGTGGGTACCTATTTCTAAAACTGCAGCTCATGACTACCCCCACCCCCACCCAGAGCTTCCTCTTAACAGGCAGGCAGTAAATATAATTAGCTCAAAGCAAAAGCATTTACTAATATGGCATAGAAAGAACAGTAGTGATAAAACATCCCTACCATAAACCTGGGGTGACACTGTTACAATTACACAAAGCACTTGCGAGAAGAGTGGGCAAAAACTTTGAGTACGATAGCAGTGAGACACAGAGCTGGGGAACACTACTTGCTCCACTGGTCCTGTTTATTGCTGGACCTCAAAGTCCTTTCCTTCTTTGTGTGACCTTCTTTGTAGTTCTACTGTCAATGACCAGAGCCTGCTCTCTAAATTTGAAATCCAACTCTCCTTTTATCTGGTTCTGTCTGGGAGTGTGTGTGTGTGTGTGTGTGTGTGTGTGTGTGTGTGTGTGTGTGTCTGTGTCTGTGTCTGTGTCTGTTTCTGCTGCCTGGAGTCTCTCAAACTGCTTGCTGGATACAGTGTGTTTTTCTGAGTAAGTAGCTCCATTGCTAGGAACCATGACTGATAGGTGTACATAGCAAGAGCTTTCCTTTTTCTCTTTACCCAGAGGTGAAGAGCTACGTTCTCCTATAACTATTAGTTCTCTTCAACTGCCTCAAACTCACTGGACTGTGTTTTATAAGGATCACTTGAGGGGGAGGAGGGAAGGAAGGTGGCCAATGATTATTTGTTTTCTCTTGACTCAGAGAACAAGATATTCATACTTTGAAAAGGGGCTAACAGGGTGTTAACACCTCACTAACAAAGTAAAATATCATTATTTATGATTAAATCCTCTCATTGATATCAACTGAACTGGGTGGGAATGTAGGGAAACCAATCTTACCCCCTCTCTTACATCAATAAAATGATACTAAATTAGATGGCTTCTAAGAGATCTCTTCCAAATCTCAGACTCAATTCTATGATACTAGGTATTTCTAATGAAAATATTCGATATAATGAACAGGGATTCTGAGGAGTCAATAATAATTGCTGACATTTGTATATACTGTAAGGTTTGCAAGCCCTATGAGGTAGGTTGTTGTTTAGTCATTTGGGGGGGGAATAGGGGGTTAAGTGACTTGCCCAGGGTCACACAGCTAGTGTTATGTGTCTAAGGCCAGATTTGAACTCAAGTCTTCCTGAATCCAGGGCCTGTGTTCCATCCACTGTGCCACCTAGCTGGCCCCCCCCATTTAGTCATTTTCAATCATATCCAACTCTTTGTGATCCCCTTTAGAGTTTTCTTGGCAAAGATACTGAAGTAGTTTGCCATTTTATTATTCTCACAACAACCCTATGAGGTAGGTACTAGGGGTAATATCACCCCCATTTTACAAACAAGGAAATGGAGGCTCAGAGAGGTTAAAGTGACATCGTCACACAGCTAAGTCATTACCAGAGGCAAGATTTGAACCCATGTCTTCCTGAAACCAAGTTCAACACTCTATTCACTGTACTGTGAGGCCAAATAATATAATCACTGGAGGGAAAGGGGTCAAAGAGCACTTGAAAGAAATATAAAACAACACTAGATACTGAATGACTAGCTGATTTAATGTAGTTGCCTTGAAAATGTCATATATGTTAGCAATATAATAAAAGGACTGGACTAAATTTCTAACTTGCCACCTCTAAAATCTATGCATCTTTAATCACGTAGTTAAAAGCACGAGAGGGGAATAAACACTTTTGAAACATCATAATAGAAAAGTCATGAGGATGGAAGAGACCTAAAAGAAAGTTTATCTGGGAATAAAGTCTAAGTGAAAGGGACCTGAAGCTGTATAACAGTAGGAGGGTCCCTGTACAGTGAAATGAGGCTGCTAATGAACTGTGAGATTAAGTCACAGGAAAAAAAAACAACAATATAACACAGCAGTGAATTCTCTAGTGGAAGGCAGGAAAGTGATTTCAAAAGACATTATATCTCATTTTCACCAAGCTTTTTTCCCCCCCAAATAACAAATACCCTCCCTACCCCCTTCCAAGAATCCTTACCACGGAAATTGGGTTGGTAGAGGCCATGGTGACCAAGATGCCACTTGCCTGTTGGGAAACAAGAAAGAAGGTGATCAGCATGATTCCCTGTTCACAATCTCACTTCATTTAGAGAGCCGAGGAAACAGACCGTCCTCCATTATTAGCTTTTCATTTTAGAAAGGGGAACCAAAAGGTACTAAAAGGAGCTGTGCCAAACAAGTCCTTCCCCCAAGGAACACAAGCCAGTGTCCACTGGGAGACAAGAATAAGAGTCACAACTAAACAAAGAGGAAGGGGAATGGAGAAAGGAAGGCCAGCTACTGGGAAACCTAAAGAATTCAGTGAACTGAAAAGGCTGCCACTGCCCTCCCTACAGGAATCCCTAGGATTCTGAGGAACAGAGGAATAAGCTCATTGTCCATCCCTTTCTCCTCCCCTTCCCTTTTCCCCGTGGCATTAAAATGATATAAATTACTGAAGAGAGAATAGATTTCCATACACTCTGCATCAGGGACACCTGCATTCTCGCCTGCCTCACCATTCTCCCCTTTTGCCACACGTTGAATATGGCTAAAGTGAGAAGGGAAAGAAAGAGTAAAAATAACAAGTCCACAGGGGTATTTCCTTCACACCTGCCATCCCCGAACTGCAAAGTGCTTTGGAATTCTCAAGGTCTACATAGAGAGTTGGGAACATGAAGCTGAGGACAGAGTAGGCTAGGGGTGAGGAACCTGCAACCTCAAAGGCACATGTGACCCTCTAGGTCCTCAAGTGCAGCCTTTTGACTGAATCCAAGTTTTACAGAACAAATCCTTTTATTAAGGGGATTTGTTCTGTGAAGTTTGGTTCAGTCAAAAGGCCGCACTTGAGGACCTAGAGGGTCACATGTGTCTTTGAGGCTGCAGGTTTCCCACCCCTGGACTAGGCCCTGGAAGGAGACTGAAGTAGAAGGATTTTTCTGGTCTGACACAATGAAATAAATCGTACACTTTGGCTTAATTTCCCTTAAAATTATTCCATGGTAAACTGGAAGGGTCCTTTCACCAGAGGCAGGTAGGGTTATTTTGAGGAGTGCATCCTGCTTCATTTCTAAGCAAAGTAGATATCTAGTTTACCAGAGGAAACTTAAGATAGCAAACAATGCACCCAGCATGAAGACTCAAAGTATTTGGTTTTGTTGGCATAATCTCTCTGCCCATGAAGTCTGCTTAGGGGGACAAGAGGAAACCACTGGATCTGGCTCTCTGCGATTGAAAGCACCAGTTTCCCGAAAAGCACATGCACCCTGATGATGCTGTTGAGATTTTCACATTTTAAGAGAAGTGAAAAAGGAAAGAAGGAAGAAAAATTTTCAGACTCAAAACTCCATTAAATCCATTTTACTTAACGAAAGTAAAACAAGGCAGAATGAAACTTGCATGAGCTACGGACAGATTGAGGAGGG